AAAAGAAACTCAAACAAACTCAGATTTGAGTTCATGAAGCGCTCCTATCCACATGTTCTTAAGAAATAATTTAAGATAAATTATTTGAGTTGTTGATGTGATCAGAGAATTAGCTCGGATGAACTTGAAACAGAAAATGCCATATGTATGCGATTTATAACAAAATAATGTTGTTGTTTTTTTTGTATAAATCTTTTTGTTCCCTCCCTCTACTACTACATATTACTCAAAACTGCCTTATAGCTTTTATCATGGAGCTAATCATTGTAATATGTTTTATCATGTTTCAGAGATGCACCAGGACAATCATCAACAATTCAGCCAGGACAGGTAATAAGGCAGACTGTGGCAGCATGACATTTCTTGCTTTCAGTGTTGTTGTTTAAGACATTTTAATCTGTTTTTCAGATAGTAATATCTGATGCTGAGGATCTGGATCCACCTGAAACAAATCCAGAAAAACCGTCTTGCTACAGGTAAGTAAAAAAAAAAAAGATAAAGACATAATTTAAATTTATTTAACTGATTACATGGGATTTTTGTTTGTAAGATGTTTTAACATTGAAATGGTAATTTCCCAACAGTAAATACACAGACCTGTTTTCACCAAATGTTGAGCAAGAAGACGAAGAGCCGGTTGCTGTCAATGTGACGAATTTTCAACACACAGCAATGTAATATGACAGCTTTTGACTATAGCACTCCAGTTTTTTCACTGTACAATAGTTCTGGTATATCCACAAATGAAGTCACTTTTTGTCATTACAGGGAGGAGACGGGCATTACATTACCTGACATCGTGGCAAACCTGTCACTTCCTATTGATCACAAAAAAGTCAGCCGGTTCAACATCTCAAGGGCTAACTTTTGGGATGGGGCAGTCAGAGGTTTCAAGCGTACAACCTATTCTGAAACCTGTGACATGCTGGTGAAATTTACTGATGATACTGGTGTTCTGGAAGAGGGAATTGACACTGGTGGTCCAAGACGAGAGTTTTTGACTCTACTGATGAAACACCTAAAAGACCGGCCCATTTTTGATGGACCAGAAGGACATCGGTTCTTGGTCTACAATGCAAATGGTATGCATATTGGTTAGATGTGTACTATAGGCTACTAATGGTTGGTTAATGCTCATTGACCATATATATATATATATATATATATCACATGACATATGCTTGTATATATCACATGACATATGCTTGTATATTACAGTAATGCACTGTTTGTTTTATTTTGCAATATGAATTAATTCACAGCTGTTAGGGAGGATGAATACTACCTGGCAGGAAAGATGATTGCTGTGTCAGTTGTGCATGGAGGTCCAGGGCCCCATTTCCTGTCGGAAGATCTTGTACATTATCTTGCAGGCCAGCCTTCATTCAAAGCAACAAATAACTTAATAACTGATGAAGAAATAGGGAAAGCTTTGCAAGAGGTGAGAGTAGCATAAGGCTAGGGTATGGTAGTGCAGAATTTTACATAGTACCTGCAGTGTTTTGAGACAATGTTTACTTTCTATATCGCGTGCAGAATTTAATTAATTAATTTATTAGTTTTTAATAGTGTAAGATTACACCATGCTATGTATGTCATTAAAAAATAGGCAAGGAGATACAGTGCACACAGTTATTGACAGGGGTGTTTATGCCCATTGTCACGTCTTTCAGATTGAGAATGCTGCTTCATTGGATGCTCTGCAAGAATGTATGATGAGACACAGCACAATGTTACAGACAGCAGGTTGTCTGAGACATGTGGCTACTGTGGAAGAAAAGAAAGAAATCGTGTCAGACTACCTCCAATGGTATATTATTGACCGCAACTCATCTGTAATTGAAAGGTAAGATGATATTTGTAGTGATGATTTTCTTTTTTTATGAATTTATATACAAATTTTCTAGTTTGAAATGCCTCATGGTCCCCATCTTTGGTTTATGCAGGCATGTATATCTGTTATCAATTTGTCACTGTGACAGAATTTGTACCTTAGTGTATTTCAACTGATATGTGATGTTCCTTCATTCTGTCAAACTACAGTGCCTTCATTAAGTCTTCTCACCTTTTATAGATGTAATTTAAAATATATATAATCCTTTTCCTCATCAATCTACACACAATACATCATAATGACAAAGCAAAAACAGAAATTAGATCTCAAGATTCTCCTCCTGACTAATTCTTCCATAGAGGAAAATCAGTCCAGTTACTCATTAAAGTGATCTGAATCTATTTCTGACCCCAGTTCTCATAGAGATCATGACATGCAAAGATGTTTTAGTATCTCTTGTGTGTGTCCCTGAAAATCAGATATAAAGAGTGTGGTGATGTTGATGGGTGTGTAAAGCTGTAGCTTCATACACGAGGAATCCAGGCAGGAATTACTTCCAAAGGTGCTTAACCCTAAAACAGTCTTTTTTTTTGGGGCATAAGAATGATTTTTTTTCATCAAATCCTTATCACTTATGACAGCCTGGTCTGTCTTGAGTCTGCTGGTCACATGATGTTTTTTCAAATTTTTTGTGATCAATTAGTCAGCCTGACCTAAATAAAACATGGCTGCCAGTGGTGCAGAACAATCAAATTTTAGAAATAGTAAATATATATATTAAACTAACTTTTCTCCTGGGGAAATTTTTTAAAATAATGCTGACACTAATTGTAAACATTGTATTAAGGTGCTGAAGGAGAAATTAAAATTAAGTAATATGTTGTTCATGTTGTTATTTAGTAGTTGTTATTTATGTTTTGAAATGTATGTGACTCCTGAGTCACGTTGCCTGTTTAGGGTATAAAAAAGGAATTAATCTATCTCTATTTAAAATGCACTATTCAAACTTAAATGATTGTAATTCAACAATGCTATGGAATATAGACCTAAGTTTGGTCTTGTTTTAACGAAAACAGTGAAAGTATGAAAATGTTATGGAAGTTTAAACTTGCATTAAATCAAATATACTATTTTTTTTTCCCCCATTTTTTATAGAATATGTATTTAAAAAATATTTATTACAATAAAATCAAAGCCATATATATAACAAAGTTGTGTTCCAAATTGAAGTTGAAAAAATAGCCACCGGGTGAATAATTGTATGCACTCTGCCATAACAAATTAATAAAGTTATGTCGAAATATCACTTTTGTCACAAAATATGTAACCTTGAGACTTAGACCTTTCTGACAATGTCTTTTGTCAAGATAAAAAAAGGTTTTGATCATAAATTATGAAACATGACGATGCCCAAAAGGGGAGGAGCCCATTAAAAGAATTTAGAATACCGATTCTATAGTTACGCAACGTCCAATTTCAAAATGGGTTTCACAGGCTGTCTCGAGTTCGTAAGCTTTCGAATGATCTATCATTTGTCAACATTAGATCTGGTGTAAACATGCAGTAACAGTCAACAGATTAATGACTTGGTCCTTTTCCTGAGTCAGGCAAAGTGACTCAGGAGTCAACTCATAAAATCCAAAAATATATCTAATTGTTTTTTAATTCTTTTGGATATGTTTTATTTAAGTCCAGATGATATAAAAAATTACTAGAAATTATTTTTTGCTTAGCATTTTCCACTCTTGCCTGTATGTTCATTAACTTGTGTGAATGTGATATTTAAGTTTTTAATTTTTATCAAATTTGCTACAATTTCTAAAAACCTAATTTTGCTTTGTCATGATGATGTATTGTGTGTGTAGAGTGAGGAGGAAAAAGATTGATATTACTATTTGAAATTGATTATATAATGCAACAAAGTTTTGAAAATGTGCAAGGGGTGTGTAGACTTTCTGAAGGCATCGTATGAGTGCTCAAGCCACCCAGCTGTCTGTCATTCCAGTCTTTTGTTTCTGTGTTATACTCAGTTTGTAACAATTAACATTTAATGTGCAACGCAAAAATAGGGTTTCTTAAATTAATTTAACATAATTTTTTCCCCCAAATGTATGTTTAAGGTGGATATTAATTGGAGAGAAGAGAATATTTAATAGTTTTCTTTAGATAATTTAAATTCAATTGGCCCTACACAGCAGTGAAATGTTTTTGTTCACTCTGTAGATTCAGAGATGGTCTTTCAACCCTGGAGTTTTTGAATGCACTACAGCAACACCCTACTTTGCTGGCCCCTGTCCTGTACCACTCTGAAAGTCGAATCACTGCTTCTGAACTTGAGAGACTCTTCAAAACTGACCTCAGTCCTTCGGGGAGTAATCGAAGACTTAAAGAAAGTCAAACCATGGCCTACTGGGCAGACTATCTCCTTGATTGTGAAGGTTTGTTAGTTCATTTTTTGTATAACTAGTTAAGAAAACACATGGCAATGATGTATCTGAATTGTTTTTTTCTTTGCAGAAGACCAGGCTGCTGTGTCTGTGGAAGATGTTTTGATGTTTGCTACTGGGCTGTCCTCACTTCCCCCATCTGGCTTGGAACCACTGCCACAAATAGAGTTCCTGGATGACTCTGTGTTCCCAATGGCAAATACATGTTCAAACACTTTGAAATTACCACTCCTAGACTCATACACTTTGTTTAAGTCACAAATGGACTTTGGAATTCAAAATAGTCCAGGATTTGGCTGTTTCTAAGCTATACGATGGATGACCCCTAGAGTTAAGACTCTGAAACGCATGACCAGCGTGAGCCTACGTGTGACGTACAACAGAAGCGCTGCGTTGTTACACTACGCAAACTCACTCGAGGGCAACAGCGAAGGAAATTAATAGTTGAATGAAGTCGTTATTTTTGTTTGTTTTTGCGCACAAAAAGTATTCTCGTCGCTTGATAAACTTAAGATTGAGTCACTGTAGTCACTCGGACTATTTTAATTATATCTAATAACTTTTCTGGGCCAGCAAGTTTCGATCCCTTAGAAGCCTATGGAGGAGTGATCCAGCTCTCAGATTTAATCAAAAATATCTTAATTTGTGTTACGAAGATGAACGAAATTCTTATGGATTTGGAACAAGATGAGGGAGAGTAATTACTGACAGCATTTTCATTTTGGGGTGAACTATCCCTTTAAAAGTGCAGTTGCCAAAGTTGTTTTTATAATGTTACAGTATGTGAGCAGATTGTTCTTTTCTCAGTTAACATTTTGAAAATGTTTTAGATCCATGACTCTCAAACTGGGATCTCTTTGTGAATCACTTGTTTTAGATAAAGAAACAAGAAAATTTATTGTTTCTTTACTACAAAGTGTAATAAATGCTCATTACTATTTTTGACTCATTTGATTAATTTACTTCACACTTAAAAACAATTAAGCTTTGAGTGACAGATTCATAAATATTGTGTTCAGACAGGCAGCAGTGTTTCACCACTTCAAAAAAAACCTTTTTGATCATTTCATAGCTGAGCCATTTCTTTTAGTTTCATATACAGTTCTGATGCAGACTCCCAGTTCTCCGGCTTCTGTATCTTATTGTGTTCCATGGCAAAGTCCAAGTATTCCTGCATGTTTGGGTCCCCACAAGGAGTCATTGACAGGCTGGCCTCAGGAAGGGCATCCAGTTCAGCCTGTTCCACTTGAAATCCGCAGTCTCTGGAGCCAAACCTATGTTAAATAGAGAACATAATTGCAGTTCTTTTCATCTAAGTTAAAACATTATATTAATATTATGATCTGTTTATTACCTGTGTGGTAAGTAGTAGAGTTCATTGGGCATTCCTCCTGGACATGCTGCTGTTCTGGAAGGGCGAATCCTGTGACTGTTCCACAGTCTCACACACTCATCCAGGTCCTTCTGAATAACCTCACCAAAGCAATATCTCAATAGGCACTGATGCTCATGACTCCCGTTGAAGTATCCAGCATCTCTAAGGTCTGCAAATAACTCCATCCAGAACTGAGACCTATAGAAATGGATAAAAATGTTTACTTATACTATCAAGTATATACACATATGTTTGAATAATGAAATCAAAGGTTAGTTGTAAAGAAATGTATGGTCTGTGAATCTTTTGGCCATTCAATTTTCTTTTCAGGAACAACTACTTTTCCTGACGGGCAGGACTTGCTTTACATTTTTTATAGATCTTTATTGTGCTCGTTTTTCATTACTCGTTCCCAAGAAGAAAACCCGAAAGACCAAAGATTCAATGACCCTATATGAAGACAACTCACCTTCCCTTTCTAAATATAGACCACCACGACTCAATACGCTGGTTATTTACAGATGAGCCGTACATGTGGCTGGACGCTCCAGAGTAGTAGTCACTGTGATGGTGGCGTAGGGTACATTGAATTGCAGCCATTATGCCGTTCTCAGTGCCGCAATCAGTCCTCAGTCTCATGGGGATGACACCGAGGTTTCGCACACATGACTTGAAATATTGAGCAATCACTGTTGGGTTATTATTTGTTGGTCCACATTCAAGCCACAATACTTTACGTGAAAATCCATCTATGCATCCCGAAATGGCCAAACCGAATGGCTTAAGTTTGTCGTAACCATCTGCGTGCCACATATAGTTAGGTCCCATTGAGTGATAGGTTCTTCTTGTAAACCTTCTGCGTACTCTGCTCTCACACCCTCGGGGATTGAGCTCCCGGAGGAAATTCATCACATCATCTCTCTTCACTCGAAGATTGTACTTTTGTTTAAGTACCTGCCACATCGTGCGGTAGCCAAATAGTTGTCCAGGTCCACGAAGTTCAGATCTGATTGCGTTACTCACGGCGTTTGGAGAGGAATAATCCTTTCTGCGGTACATCCCGGCTTCGTTCAGTTTACTTTTAAGCGTCCTCAAGCTGATGTTTACACCGTGTAGACTTGACATCATGTCCACGATTACAGCGTACGAGTGGCCCTCGTTAAAATACTGAACGCAATGATGCAGTATGTCTGGTGTTTCCGTCTGGTTCGCGTCCTTTAAAAACTCCAAACACCGACCGCACGTAAAGCAAAACCGGGTTAAGCTGCTCATGTGTTTACCACAAAACGGGCAAAACATCCCTCGGTCGCAGTCCATGTTCGGTCACCAAAAACTTAAATTCCTATATGCTTCATATTCACGCCATATTCACCACATTGAAAACACGAATTAACCGCGCTCACCAACAACACCTATTACCCGCGTTCACTCGTCACTTCCGGTATGTGGTACATTCCCTTTCCGTGAGGGATCGATCGTTTGTAAATTTGTTTCGGGACGAGTAAAAGTGTTTTGCGTCTTGCTAATTTGTATTCTAAAATGTAAATTTGTTTTGTCCTTGGTAAAAATGTTTTGCCCTTGGTAAAAGTGTTTCGCCCATGTAATTGTGTTTTATGGTTGGCTAAAAATGTTTTCCAAAATGTAACTTTGTCTCAAGCTTTGCAAAAGTGTTTCAGTCTTTGTAATGTTGCTTTGCACTTCCCGGCCACCGTAGTGACAGCAGTTTATGGATGAGTGTAAAAGACTGGGTCCCGCTGTATCACTCCGGCTGCACTACAGCGTCTATTCAGGGGCGCGATCCCACTACTGAGCGGCACGGGGGCTTTGACCTGCTCCGTTTCCGACCTGGGCCGGTGCACCCCTCCTTAGACGACCTGGTGGTCCCGGGCTCCCCCAGGAGCACCATATCGATACCGAACTTAGCGCGGACACCCGATCGGCATAGTCCGCTGCAGCTCAGAGCTCCTGAGCTCAAACGATCCGCCAGCCTCAGCCTCCCGGTAACTTGGATTACAGGCGCGCGCCACCGCACCCGGCGGCGTTTACACGCGCTCACAGGACTTTTGACGTGGACGTCATCACGGAGAACGAGACAGCGGCGGAAACTGAAAGTGCTGATGTGCCTTAAAATATTACAGAAACTTGGCGAAAATGTGCTTATTTTTTTAATCACATATTTCCCTGACAAACCTTTTTTTCTGCATCTACTGTCTGTATGTAAAGTCCTGATCTACCTTTGAACCATAGACTGAACTACAACTGTACCTACATTACATTTATTTAGCCTAGCTGATACTTTTATCCAAAGCGACTTATTTCACCTCTGTGGACACAAAAAAAAAAAGAATGCAAGAACATCTTTTTCCATCTAGACTCCCTGGTACACAAGCGAATTTGTAAATTAACCAGAACATACAGATGTTTTTATTTTAACATATCTGTTATATATGTTAACATATATGTTATAAGTAGCCTACTTCTTTGTAATGTAGGTAAGAAGAATGTCTTTTGCTTTCTTCTCAAAAGGACATTCTTCTCAACTAGGACTGGCTGACCTTGTCCCCAGTTATTTGTGACAGGAATATAGAAATTGAGTTAAAATTGGAAAAAATATCAGTAACCACAAACAATATACATAGAATGAATATATAAGATATATAATGATGAGATAAAACATTAAGTACAATGTGGAGTATTTTAATATTCAGAGAGCTTCAGCGAAAACATGTTCATGTTACAAAACACTTCTCTTAAAAACAAATCCAAACAACAATTAATTAAAATAAAACATGAAATGAAAACCCATATACACAGAACATCTTCCCCAGCTCCACAAGTTAACATAATCAGACTTCTGTCAGGCTCCCTGGACTTTATTAGCTGTGAAAGAGAAAGACAGACAGCCTTTAGTAGGTGGAAAAATAGACTGCATTTCTGTATAAGCTGTGTTCCAACTATAGTATGTCATTATAATACATTGTAATTAGGAGATCGGATAAATATATTGGCATTAATATAAATCACTGCTTTTATTTAAAAATGTATTAAATGTTTTATTGGGTGAAAGACCCTCACACATTAGTTGAGATTCTGTTATGCAGGAGATTCTTTGATTTAAAGTCTGTTCATCTGTTCACCTGCTCTGCGCTTTTGTCCACTTCAGGGCGTGTCTGGGAGGCACAGCTGTGGTTGGGTGGTAGAAGGTACATCCGGCCCGTTTACACTGCGCAGCGAAGCGACATGGCTATAGATGGAGAGGAACAACATTTAGAAAAGTCAGACGGCACTTCAGGGCTTGTGCACAATGTCCACTGAACCTAATCCTACAGACAATACAGACAGTACAAATTAAAAGGAAAAACCTGAATAAAAGAGTGGAGGGACATATCCATAGCAGATGCTTCCATGTACTTCTGGCTCAAAGGTTTCGCTGATATAAAAATGACGTGAATAAAATGCTAAAAGCTTTTACAGTCATCGGATCTCAACCCAGTTTCAGACTATGGAAGATTTTGAACTGACACACACTCAAACATTATATCTGTACCAATTTGTCACCCATCTGTATATGCATTAAAATTACCATTACAGAATCAAAGCTCCACAGCTACACTTTGTAGTAGCTGTGGAATAGCTACACTACTCTGAATGTTTTACCTTGGGATGATAGAACGGACAGTCCATCTTCTTGCATTCTGGGAAGAACCGACACACGCTAGCCGTTTGGACTGGCTGCACTGCTGAGAACAGAAAAAGTGAAGTTAGAGATGCACCCCCTTAACAAACTAGACAACTGCAAAAAAATAAAGATCTGCTTTACTGTGATGTTGATCAAAAATGACAATGCTGCGACGTTGGTATAGAAGACTGTGTTTTGGGGGTGATGAGAGAGTACCTGGCCTGGGAAGAGGACCAACTGTGCTTCTGCGGCTGACATGAGTGAAGGGACAGTCTGGCTTGGTACATCTGGCGTCATATTTGCAATTCGGATGGACAAAAAGGCATTTATCCCCAAACTTGCAGCTGGGAAAAGTTCTTCGGAAAAGCAAAATGCGAAAAAAAACTTTGTGAATACTGATTTGGTGAGTGCTGAGTGATAAAAGCTCCATCATCATTTCTGCTCCATCATCATTTCTTCGGTTTATCAACATAAATACTCACTTGCACTGTGTTGTAGGGTGATGGTATGTGCACTCATCTCCACTTTTGCAGACCGGCCAGAACTTGCAGCGCTCCATCACCTTTGGTTTCTTTACAGGGACCGCACCCTCCTCCGCCATCTCAACCTCCATCACATCATCTGTCAAACAGAGGACAGAATGTTAAGGGATATGACTAAATGACATTATTATTTGTGTTATCCCATATTACAGTAAAGAAGAACTCTGACGAGACCCCGCACCTTCAGATGTGATTCCTCCCTGTAGTCTGTGAAGAACACTGACTTTGGGCTCCCTGTTGGCGTGTACGGTCGCCTCTGTGACCTTTGAGGGTGGTCTCACGTCATCCAGCTCCATCTCACAGTCCGCAAGATTCCCCAGAGGGCTCGGTACCCCATCTAATGTCACAATGAACTTGGGGCTGGCAGAGTCGCCCCTCTCCTTACTGGTGTGAGAAAATCCACAGAGCCGAAAAGGAGAAAATAAAACATCAAATCCACAATGGCACACACTTACGTTTATGTATATTGGACAGATCTGACACAGCATACTCACATAATGTGTGTGTGTGTGTGTGTGTGTGTGTGTGTGTGTGTGTACCTGGCCTGGACAGTGCGTGGCAAAGCAGGCTGGACTTCCTCTTTGACCTGAGGGCGCTGCTGGCTTCTGGCTGGAGGTTCTTGCAGTTGCGATCGACTCACTATGAAGGAGCGGGTATCAAATGGCTTCGCCTCACTGCCTGCAGCGACCTCAACGCCTACAGGTACATCACAAAATGGACACATCCCAGGGTAATGCATCGCTGAAGACAATAAATCAGACAGCTTCTGGGATACTCATTATTAGTAATTACTTTAAATGTTTTAAGTCAAGTACACATTTGTGGGATGAAACTTTTATTGTAGCAAAAAAGACTCACCATAGTCACTCTGCTCGGCTCCATCGTTGCTCTCTGGTAAGTCCAACTGGAGGCGTGAAGCTAAAGATCTCACTGGAGCTGGGAGGAAAATGTAACATCAACAACAAAAAACAACAATTTCTAATTCACTGGAGTTTAAATAGTGAAAATTTTTTTTAGATTTAGCTCACTGAACAGTAAGAATGTTATATGTGATTCTGGCCTTTAGATAGCAGCGTGTTGAAAGTAGTGCTCAGGAAAAAAAAACATTCTGTTTGATGTAGTAATTCACATACCAGGTGTTCTGGTGGGAGGTAGCTCTGTGGAGGTGTAGGTCTGAACCCTAGGGGCCAGGCTGTGGAGGTGGTCCTGGACCAGCTGGATGGCTGCAGTCATCTCTTCGCTGCTGGCCAAGCGAGTACGAGGTGCCACAGGAACAGTCTGCCTCTGTGGTACTGGAGGGCCGAACGGTCAAGGTAAGAAAGTGAAAACAGCAACAACAATTGAGATGTTCATGGTAACACGTTAAAACATACTTGTGGGGTAGGCTGTAGTTTTGGTGATTGAGTCCTGGGCCTCAGAGATGGCCTTCAGTATCAGATTCCGGTTTGCTTGCTTGCCTGGAGGGAGAGTAGGTCTGAAACGATAGAAACCACAGTAACATTAAAGCCCAGTCTGGTAATTTAAGAAGAAAGACAGGGGTCACATTAGGATTTTAACTGAATCCAATCACATTTGCTACATAATTTTTAACAGTGAATTACAATCCTGGCTTGACCACATGATGTTCCAAAATATCATGAGTTGTTGACACTGACTTGCGTTCTGGTTTGGAGGGTAGGGACACTCTACTTGACAGGCCTCTGCCTCCATAGCCTGGATCCTCCTCTTCCACGTCATCGCTGTCTTCGTCTGCCGCTCGGTTCACTCGCACCACTGAACTCGCTACGGGCGCCTTACGCTTCCGTGACAACTCCTCCTGCTGAACAAAGACAGCAGAACATTATTATTAAGGGATCCTTACTTACACCCGCCTGACACGTTGTCAACAGAAAGATCATTTGTGTAGTCCCGTGTCTGAAGCAAGTCCTGAAAAATGATCCTTCTTGGAAAAGAGGACCAAGTGTGCTCTCGCGGAATCACTGTACCTTACTGGACCCAGTCCTGGAGGATCTGCTGTTTCTGCTGTCCTGCTGCCTAGTGTTAGAGGATCCTTCTGTGGGTCGACATGAATCCGCAGAGCTTACTGATGTAAACTTGCTCTGAGCCGGTCTGTAGATTTCAGCGGTGGGTCTATTAGCTGTGCGGCGTGTTCGACCATGGTTTGTGCCTATTTCTAAATGGTCCTCAGCAATGAGGTCGTCATCCATCTCAGGTTTGATGTCAATGACAGCCTCTAAGGGGAGCAGCTCCATGAGGGGCTTAACAGTGGAGGTAAGTCGAGAGGAACTCTTCTCCAAGGCGCCTCTTCTGCTAACGAACAGAGGTATACACGTGTTTTTACATTTGCAGGGTCTGGCATATGATCTTTAAATAGTGAATGTCAGCACGTTTCGCATTAGGCACCTGCTTTCATGAGCTGAACTGGACACACGAGCTTCAGTCCTATCAGAGCGTGAACTGGACACCGTCAGCACCTTTAACTCATCTGCTCTGCTGTCTTCGCTTACAGATGACCGGCTCTTCGAAGCCACAGCACCACTGTCGGACTGCAGCTGATGTTTGAGGGATGCAGGCTCTGTAACAATTGGAAGAAGAGCATGTCTGAGACACTGAAACTACAGGTCACATACATGCTTTTAGCAAAATAAAAAAGTGTGGAAAATCTTGAATGCATTCAACATAGTCTGACTTACCGACTGCAACAGTTCTTAACTTCTCAAGGACACCATGTAGCCTGAAATCAGTCAACAAACCCATGTTATGGCAAAAACAGATTGGGTGGTGTGGAAAATAACTGTTAAGCATAGAGAGCGTGTGTTCCTTTTGCATGTTAGAAGAAAAAAATATGGACATTTTTATGAGACAGGAAAAATACAGTTATTGCTTTGATCGTACCAGGCTGTGAATTTGATAGTGTTGTTTCCAAGAAAAAGGGAGAGATCATCAGCCATCTGTTGGGAGGTTTTCTTGTTCGCTACCATCACCATAATATAGTCAGGAAGTTCTTCATCTAAAGCAGAAAAGAGAGGAAACACAAACAGCATGTAATGTTTGATGGAAGTACCAAGCACACCACAATATGTATTTTATTCACTTACCAATATAGGCACCCAGCTCTTGAAGCTTGCCCTTGATGGCAGCCTGAAAAAGACCAGTACAGTAACGTTACAGGTTATATTATCTAGCTAAACAAATAATGATCAGCATCCTGGCTGCACTGATATAAATTTACCAACAACGACAACGTGGCACTACGTATAGCTACTACAGAAGTTTGTTTAAGATCAAATAAAAAGCTGCTAGACGTCTGTAGCCTGTAGACCTGCCCATTCCTCGGCCTTGTAAATAAAAACCTCGTTCCCATTCTGTCCGACTGACAAATTACGATAGCAAGCTAATGCTAGCTAGCAACGCCTATGCTACACTACCCGTAACCAGGCCGGAGAAAATAATTTATATTCAGCCCATAACGATACCCACTCTTATTTTCTTGCTGATCTCTGTTCCTATCTCCATGTTTATCGTTGCGTTCTCTTAAAATGTATTATAAAAAAGCGATTGCTTTTCCAGCTTCACTGCTAACCAACACGGACAAATATCATGTATGATCACGTGACCGACGAGGGTAGCCGAACAGGGACAAACCAAAGACCAAAACCGTAGAGCGGTTTTATGTTTATTGGCTCAACTTTTTAATACTAAAATATCGCTAAGGGAAGGGTTAGGGTCATGCAGACTATCAGCATTACAGTAACTCAGTTAAAAATGTAGCGTTTCTGTCATACACACACACACACAACAACATTTTTGTTGATTTAAACCATCCCCCTAAAGAGGCAGACAAGCTATATCAAGATCCACAGAATACAATGGAAAAACAGAAAACTGGATGGGCAATGCAGAAGAGATTTTCATTAACAAGTGAAGTTAAAATAAGGGGATCAGACAGCATCCAGCCCTCAGTATTGTAAATCTGTTGCTGCTGTGTGTCCCTTAATACAAATCAGGTGTCAATAACAAGGTTGTATGTATGAAGGTGGTATTTTGTGTCTGATTTCTATGTGTTGTGTGTTCTGCTTTATTTTGCCTTTATTTAACCAGGCAGGCCGGTTGAGAACAGATTCTCGTTGTGCAGTAGCTACAACATGTTTACACACATAAATATACAACACACAATAAAACTAATGCAGTATAGAGTCTTTAAAAAATACAAAATGCAGTAGATAGTATATTTTGTGGAAGATGATATCTGTTCGAAGAGGTAGGTCAGCTGGTATTCAAAGTGGCATTAAAGTAAAGTGGTTGGCTACAACAGCAAAGAGCAACACTTTGCATATTTGGCAAATAACGCTTGAGCATATCTGTGCAAAAATGGTGTAGGTAAAATAAGACTTACCCTAATGAGGAAATGATTTCTCATAATTATGGTAAAACAAAGATAGGACTATCGAACTCAAAAGCGATCTTTTCATTGTAGGCCCTATTAATAATTGTACTGTGCAGTGATAACACACTCAATGTGAATATGTTGAGAATCCGGAGGCCATGTTTCGTCATGAACAGAAACAGAAAATTTAATTACATTTCTGATTTTTGTCATTTTTTTCATGGGCAGAGTAAAAACATGACTATTTCAAACCTGAATGCTATATCCACAAGATGGCGTTTGAGACCATTAAACACACACCCCTTTGACTGCCCCCATGGCTGAAGACCTGAAGACTTGCTCCAACAGTTAGATAGTTTGAAACAGATTGGTGAACAAAATACAGACCTAAAGGACTAAAGTTTCTATATTGGTCTTAATTATCTTAAACTGACATAATCATAGATGTTGCACCTCATCTTGGACAATATCCACAGTTTTTAATGGGACATAAAAGAGGGTGCAGGCGCTTTGTATTAGAATTATAATAACATTTTTATTAACGTTCAAATACTCCATTTTGTTATTTTTTATGTTTATGTGTGGTTAGACTTTCGAATGTTCTTAGCTATGTTTTCTCTCAAATATTATTTCCTGTTTTGCAGCCCCTCAATGCCAACCAACAATGACGGGAAGGATCTTGCTCACCGTCTAGACAAGCGTCACACACACTCTCAACCACCGCTGTCTGCTCACGTTTCTCTGTTGGCTTTGTTCACACCATCAGTGCTGAGGCACAAATAGTTTAATGTTTAGAAAAAAATCAACTTCGTCTTTTTTTCACAAATGACACTTCATGTTGTGCCTGTCATACAAGAACCTCCACAGACATTTCTTAGCATTCCTTCTGTAGAAATGATTATTATCATTATTATTACTACCAGTAGCCTAAAATTTTCACTATTGTCATACCTTTTATTTATTTATTTATTTTTTACCAAAAAGTGTCTTTAAAGTGATGGGCACTGTGTTTCAACCAAGTGAGCCACTGGGAAACTATGCACATGTTCTGAAGCCTAATGGTCACTTCAGTAATTTTTCATACACAGCACAACTTACTGTGATTTCCATATATTTTCAAGGGGAAGCAGGACTGCATTCATTTGAGGGTGTGAAGAGGGCAGCCTTTCCTATTTATCGGAATAAAAGAGAACCTTCAATAGAAACCCTGACCCGGTACTGTGTGGTTTTGGTACAGCGCAATCCAGGTGCATACTGTGTAACAGTCTAGGAGTACACTCCTAGAGTTATCATTGTCACCACCGTGAGGTTGCCATGTTTGCTACTGTTGTGCCTGTAGAGACTTCTACTTTAAAGCTCGTCTACACAGGAGGCGTCTCAGCTGCTTTTCAGTTGTTTCTCATATGTGTGAAGGAAAAGATACACGTTAATAAGTTCAGCTGTCTATAAAGGCTGCAAAACTGCTAATGTTTCACTCGGTTTGCACTTTACATCTGCAACTCAAAGCGTATTTTTATGCTTTATGCTGTTTTTCCATTTAACTGCAGTGTCACTACAGTGATTGTGTGTTGGAGTCTGAGCACTGCTAAAACACAGGTAACCTACATGCAATATTGAGCCTGAACACATCTTGTGTAGACACCGACATAGGACATAGGACTGAAGCTGCTGCTGCTGCTGCTCTGCTAATGTTTTGATTTCACTAGGTGGGCTGTGTAGACGTTGTGTAAGCCTATAGCTCAACAACAGCATTTTGCAACCCTATAGCTTAAAACGCTGCACAGAAGTGCTGGGCAACTGGATAATCTGTTATTTGTCTAGATATGGTTACACCACATTAGTCATTTTTACATCACTGTGTGCGTACAGATTAAATGAACAAGTTGCAGCATGTTAATTGGTGGGTTTGAGAGGTGTTGGAAGGTGTATTTTTGAACTTTGGACAGAGTGAGCTGTTTCCCCCTGCTTCCAGTCTTTATGCTAAGCTAGGATAAATATATCCTAGCTCTAGCCCCATACTCAATGCAGAGGCATAAAATTGACAATGGACATTTGGCACATCAACTGCACATATAACAACAAAAGCAAAACAGCTTTATCTGATGGCCTGATATGTGAACCCTTCAAAGACCATTTCATATTTTGAGTGACAAAGCACTCCTGGCAGCATATTATTATTATTACTAGTTGTTTTTTAAATATGAAAAAAGTCTCTGTACTTTTGTTTATATTAAGGTTGTTGGTGTTGCAGCATTTGAAATGTTCCAGGTGACACGTATCGCATTTGCATGGAAATTCTGCCAACATAGCAGTAGTACTATATAAGAGTGCGATATGAAAAACACTTCTGAGAATGTTTATGTTAATTCCAACTGCAAGTGCATTCAGTCACCATCTGTAGTGTGTGTATGTGACCACAAATCCGCTATCCTGTGGCTGGCATTGGTCTCCCCAGACACCTACACAGGGGACTGTGGTAATTCTACTTCCCTTTTCTTTGAAATGCTATCATAAGCTCAGAGGCTTCAGTTGTGAATCAGCTGATAAACTTCTGCGAATTCTTCAACCACATGTGCTGTGATGACGACAGTTCAGCCACAGTCCTTTGACCCAGCAACGCAGGGAAGTGCTGCTCTCTGCTCTCTCTGAAACCTGTCCACCATGAAGGAAAGTAATACTCTTTTAGTGTCACGTTACGGTTTGGATAAATCAAGATCCTGCCTTGAGGCAGAAAAGAGGTAAAAGAAAGGATGGAAAGGCATTTGAATGCAAAAAAAGGCTGTAACAAAGACGTGCACAGGAAGATAATTCATTGCACCTGTTCTGACAGTGTTCAGAAACCTAATATAGGCTTTCCTGCACAAAATGACACCTGTATGAATGAAGCTGCTGCAGCTGCGTGTCAGCACACAATCGCACTTTTCTATTGCACACAGATACAAACACAGAAAGGAAGACTGCATAGTCACACAGAGGAACAACAGCCCAGATTTTGTGCACAAACACTTGAGATAGTGAGAGAGATGTGATGTTAGAAAAGCTCCCCTGGAAGTTATAGTGTACTACATGCAAATCAGTTAAAAGTGTCAAAGCTTGGTTGCATCAGCCAAGTGTACAACAGTACCTATTTTCCCCTGAAAATTTTGTTAAGTCAGGAAATCCCAAAAGGTTGACTGAGGACAAGATTTGACTACACCCAGATGCTAAAGGGTTAACTCTGTTTTGATTCACGACGTTCACAGCGCTGAAGCTTTCACTCATTAATCAGGCAAGGAAGTGAAAGCCCACTAAGATTTACAGCTGGTGGGCTACTGCAGGCCCTCCAACACGGAGTCTGGATGAGTCAGGGTTACACAGCTGGAAACATTTTCAAATATCAGTCTTTGTGTTGTGTAGGAGTGCAGGTCAAGGTTTGATTTTGTATTTAACAGCATATTTAGGGAATTATACAACCTGGAAAGTGTTACTTTAAGGAACTTTGTGAACTCTGGACTTCACTCTGTGATATGCGAACTTTGTGATAAGTGAAATTTTATTATTAATTGGCCCTCAAGAGAGCATCATCATGTGTGAGGACTGAATGTTTTGTTTCTGTCTGTATGAACCTTCTTCCTATTTTTTAAACACACTAACCACCCACACAGACTGGGTATGTTTTGGTAGCTTCTACAATAGATGTGAGCTGGTTGTTTAGAACAAATCCACATTGTCTGTTCTTTAGTATCGTTGTACTGAGTGCAGAGAATAAGGGGATCATATGAGGACATACTTCATACTTCGATACTTCAGGACGTTGGGAAGGTTCTCAGTCATTTCAGTCTTCTAGTATCTTCAACCAAGTCCAGTTGCCCTTGACCTCAACCTTCGTTGGATACTTCAGGACATGGAGAAAACCAGTTTTCACATAAAGAATAGTTTGACACTTTGGGAAATACTTTGTTGCTGGGATTATGATGAGAAGCTTGATACCACTCTCATGTCTGTCACCCTAACCAGCAGCAGGTTAGCTTAACATAAAGAATGGAAACAGGAGGAAACAGCCTGGCTCTGTCCAAAGGTAACATAATCTCTGAAACCAGCACCTCTTAATCTCACTATTGCAATGTTAATCTCTATTGTTCAGTCTGAGCTAAAATAACAATCTGCTAACTCTCGGCAGGAAAGCAAAGAAGCGTGTTTCCCAAAATGTTCTATTCCTTTAACTTAAACTGGATGTTTGCAAAGCAAGTTCTCGGTTAT